AATTCAATTATTTATAAATATTTCAATAAAATTTGGTGCAAGAATCCAATTTTTTTTAAAATAATAAAAATCATTACAAAAGGCACTCAATTATTTTTAAAAAAAATTGAATAAAGTTCTTCGCAAGAATTCAATTATTTTTAAAATTATAAAATTCTTCTGAGAAATTCAAGTATTTGTAAAAAAATTAAATAAAGTTCTTCGCAAAAATTCAATTATTTTTTAAAATAATAAAATTCTTCTGAGAAATTCAATTATTTTTTAAAAAATTGAATACAGTTTTTCGCAAGAATTTAATTATTTTTATAAATAATATAATTCTTCTGAAAAATTCAATTATTTTTAAAGAAATTGAGAGTTCTTCGCAAAAATTCAATTATTTTTATAAAGAATATAATTTTCTTCAATAATTTAATTATTTTTATAACTTATAAAATTCACTGCAAGAATTCAATTATTTTTATAAATCATTAAACTTATCGCTGTATTGCAATTAATTTTAATACAATTTTAAATAAATTCTTCGAAAAATGTAATTATTATTTTTTTATTATTTGAAATATTTAACGGGTAATCACCCTTTATTACAATAAAATGATAATTAGTATTCAACTTAAGTATATAATTAATGTTAACATTTTATTATGAAGTCAATCGAACACACCACACACAGAAACCTAAAACAACTCTTTTAGCGATAACGCAACTGTCTAAAAAAATTTTAAAATAAAAAAAAAATAAAAAAAACTTAAAAATTTTATTAATATTCTTGAAAACAATTCAATTATATGAAGAAATTTTGATATCATTGGTTTATTGGTATTATTAATTATTTTGAATACATTTTTAATTAAAATTCTTGAACGATTTTAATTATTTTCAAAAATTTTAATGAAAATATTCATAGCAATTTAATTAATTTAAAGAAATTTCGCAATAAAATTATTACAATTTGAATAATTTTATTTAAGAATTCTTACAAAAAAAATTATTGAATTCTGGAAGAATTAGTTTGTAATTTTTAGAAATAGTAGTTAAATTTCAAAAAGGCGTTACGTTGAAATCGTTTAAAATATTTTTATTTCTATGGAAGAATAAATAGGTACATATTTAAATATTTATTTAGAAGAAATTGTTCTGTTTTTGAATGCAATTTAATTTATAAATTTTATAATAAAATTCAGTCGTCATATTTAATTTTTCAAAAGTTACTTTTTTAGAACTTTTTTCAGTCTTGAAGCTAATTTTTGATACATTTTTAAAATTAATTTTCGTGTGTACGAAGCTTACGTTATAGAGATATTACAGTATTGCAGGTGTTGCTGAAAATTGTTTTTGCGACAAAAAATAGAATTACAATACGTACACAGTTTCGGATATAAAAAATACAATTTTAGTTCGAATTTATAATCAGAGGTAAAAATAGTTTAAAGCAGAGAGAGAGAGAGAGAGAGAAAGATTTTAGTTTTTCTTTTTTGCTTTTGGCAGGCGAATTTCTTTTACCCTCTGTTCTTAAATTCTTGAGAAGCGTATCGTTTAAAAATGGCACGTTGCTCCTTTTTAGCAACCGACTTTGGAATTAAAACTATTCGCGGAAAATGTGGGTCGCCTTCATTCAAAGCAAATGGAGATGCTTCTACTTTGTCGAGGCTTTTATTCTTTTTCACTATACCAACGAGACTATATTATGCATATAGACGAGTTGGTTTTCTCAGTTCTTGAGTTCCGAGGAAGTTGAAATGTTCATGTATAATTTCTTCGGCAAAAGAAGACATCGAGTAATCAAGCTCCCGGCGTGCGAGCATCATCCACTCCTAGAAAATACATGTATACTTCCATCCTTTTCAGCATTTCCCTTTAAGTATAAACTTCTATTTTATCTTACTTCTGCATTCACTTCTTCATTCATTTACTTCTTCATTTACTTCTGGTCCTGTTTTCTTTATTTTTTGTTTATTCGAATTTATATCTATTATTTATTTGAGCTTCTTTATTTTTTCTTTATTCTATAATTTACTAATTACTATACAGAGTTGTCACAGGTCAGATAATTCTGGGAAAAGTCAGAATTTTATTAAAAGTTCTAGAAAAAATTTAATTTTTTAAAGTCATAAGAAAATTCTGAATTTTTGTGTCTTTTTTGTTTGCCTTGTAAACTATGAAATTATCACAAATTCTAATAAGAAACTTTCATTTTTTTTCTATTTCTATGACATCAATAATTTCTTTTTAAATAACTTAATTAAATATTAAATAACATAATTCCTGAAGAACTACCTATCATAAAATTATTACATAGAAAATATTTTGTGAATAATTTTACTTAAATATTTCAGAATTAATTGAATTTAAAAGAGTTGGGTTTTTCAAAAGGTTTTTATTTAACATTTCAATTTTTAATGAAAAATTTAATTTAATTAATTTAATTAGAAATTTTAAAAAACTTAGATTTTTAAAAAATTTTAATAATTCAAATTCTTTAAAAATTAGTTAAATTTTTTAATATTTATTCATTTGATTATTGAAGATAATAGATTTATAGAAAAATTTTAGTTAAAAACTGTGAAAAAATAATTGAAATTTGGAGAAGTTACAAATAATAGCAATTTTTAGAAAGAATTGAATAACTGAAAAAAGGTCTCAAATTTTTTCAAAGAATTCAATTATCTTATTATAAATATCAAAATTCTTCCTAGAAATTCAATTATTTTCAGGAATTTTAATAAAATTCATTACAAGAATTCAATTATCTTCAAAAGTAATAAGTAGAATTATTTGCAGAAATTCTATTATTTTCAAAAATTTTAATAAAATTCTTGGCAAAATTTCAATTATTTTCAAAAAATTTTTTCAATTCAATGATTTTCAATATCAATTTTAATAAAATTTCCCAAAAGAATAATTTAATTATTTAAAAAGAAATTTGATAAAATTCTACGCAAACATTAAATTATTTTTAAAAATAATGAAAATTTCACAAGAATTCAATTCTTTAAAATATAATTTGAATAAATTTTTTGAAAAAATATCTATTATTCGAAATTTTTTATAAAATTCTTCGCAGTCATTCAATTATTTTCTCAAGTTTTAATAAAATTCATGTAAAAAATGCAATACTTTTAAAAAATAATAAAATTTATCGTAGGAATTCAATTATTTTTATAAGTTTTAATAAAATTCATGGAAGAAATTCATTATTTTAAAAAATTTTATTGAAACGCTTGTTAAGAATTCATTTATTTATTTATTTATTTTATTTTTATTTTTAAATTGAAATCTTCGGAAATTCTTGTAAAATAAATATTCAAATATTTAAATAAAATTAATAAATTTTTGAATAATTTTATTTAAAAATTTCAAGTAAAAAATAATTTAATTTTGGAATATAATTACTAATTTTTTGGAAAAGTTTAATTGACATTTTTTGAAATTATTTCAAGTTTTTATTTTCTATTAAACGATTGAAGAATTTTCGAATAATCGGAATTTCGTAAAATTGATTGGTAAACGAATGGAATTCTAATACAAAACCATCAAGTTTTTCTATTTCTCACAATAATTTATATTCAAATAACTAAATTCTTGAAGAACTATCATAAAATTATTAAGTATTTAGAAATTATTTTTAATGAATAATTTCACTTGAATATTTTAAAATTAATTGAATTTTAAATAAATTGCATTTACAATATTTTAAAAATATATCAACTTCAAAATGTGTTAATTTGCAGTTTTATAAAATTTCAATTTTAAATGAATTTAATTAGAAATTTTTAAGAACTTAGATTTTTGAAAAATTTAAATAATTCAAATTCTTATAAAATTAGTTAAATTTTTTAATATATATTTAATTAATTATTAAAAATAATCGATTTATAGAAGAATTTTAGTTAAAAACACTAAAAAAATGTTATTTGCAAATTTTTTTATAAATTTCTTCGTAATAATTCAACATAATTTTCATAAATAATAAAATTCTTCTCCGAAATTCACTTATTTTCAAAAATTGTAATAAAATTCTTGGCAAAATTCCAATTATTTTCAAAAAATTTTCTCAATTCAATGATTTTCAATATCTACTATTTTAATAAAGTTTTCCAGAAGAATTTAATTATTTAAAAAAAAATGTTGATAAAATTCTACACAAAAATTTAATTATTTTCATAAATAATAAAACTCATTGCAGAATTTCAATTATTTTTAATACCGGCAATTTCAATCAAATTCCTCGAACAATGTAATTATTCTTAAAAAGTGTATTAAAATTCGTCGAAAGAATTCAATTATTTAAAAATTTGTTGATAAAATTCTTTACCAGAATTAAATTTTAAGAAAAATTCAATTATTTATTATATTGTTTATTTTTGTTAAATTAATTTAAAAATGAATATCAGTTAAAAGTTTTTTAGATTGTAATTGAATATTAAATGCATCAAGCGTGAATTTTTAAAAACAATTTAATTTTGAAATGATTTTAAATTAAGAACTTTAAAAATTCGAATTCTTCATACTTTTAACTGATAATTGTGTAGAATTAATTTTTTTTAACAAGTTTAATTTAATTTTTTAAAAAAATTATTTGAAGTTTTTATTTTTTAATGTATATTTTATTGAAGAATTTCCAAAAAAATTTTTTAAAAATTATTAAAAATAAATTATCTAAAGAAGAATGTTAGTTAAAAATTCAAGAAAATAATAATTGAATTGAAAGGATGAAAATAATTCTGAAGAAGTTCTATTAACAATATTGTTATAACATATTAATAATCATTTTTTATCACTCGGTCATCTTTAATTATTATAAGTTGTTGAATTACCTCAAAATGGTTTGAATTTGAATCTTTTGAAAAATTTTAATTCGTATGGAAAAATAATGATTACATATTTATTTAAGAAAGAAGTTATTGATGTTTTCGAATTTACAATTAAAGAAATTCGCAAACAAAAGTAATAAAAATTTTGTTTATTATCTAATATTTTTTCAGAGTAAATCTGAATATTTTTTAGTGTCAGGGAAAAAGTCTGAAAATCAGGGAAAAAGAAAATTAAATGTTTGTGGCAACCCTGTGCTAATTCTAATTTACTTGTTCTAACTAAGTTTTTTAAATTCAGTTGAGATGAATGTGACTTATGCCGTAATCACGTTAGTAAATTTACGTTTGCAGCATAGTTTGAATTTCCTCTAAAGTTTTCCCTTTGGTTTCGGGTGTTAATTTAAAATTGACAATAGCGCCAATGAAGGAGCAAGCGGCGTATATCCAAAAATTTGTATGAATTCCTGCGAAATGATTGACATAACTGTAGGTTAATGTGACGAGAAAGGAGAATATTGATCCCATCATTAATCCAATCGATACGGCAGTGCCTTTGACACTGATCGGAAATATTTCGCCCAAAACCATGTAGGGTATGGTGCCAATTCCTAGCGTGTAGGCGAACATGTAGACAACCAATCCGAACAGTGGAATCCACGATATGTCCGTAACATCCAACCTAACCTGATTCTTCAAATAGAAGAACAAACCACAAATAAATAGACACAATGATGTTAGAATTCCCGACGTCAACAGTAGGATCTTCCTACTAAATCGTTCGATAACACCACCAACAACAAGTCCAGCAATAAAATCAATTCCTCCCAAAATCATAACACAATGCTCCGGAGCTAATGTCGAATCCGTATAGCCAAATATTTCCTGTGTATACGCCGATATCACCATTTTACCAGCTAGAAATTGTGTCGCTTTTAGGCACAAGAGAATAAATAGTCCCCTCCTATGATTTCTGTTGCTGAACAATTCTCTTAGGGGACTTTTGTTAATTTTCTGATTTCTAAACGAAGTGATGGACAGTTTGATGCTTGTTAATTCGGATTCGATCGATTTTTGATTTCTAACGCCACGTAGTTTCATGATACTCGCCATTGCGTCATTGTCTCTGTTTTTCATGAGAAGAAAATATGGTGATTCGGGCATGAAAATAAATGTGGCGAGAAATAAAATTGGTATTGTTATTGATGTGATGTTGTAGATTTGATATGATAAGTATGCACCAATTGCGGTGAAGATGCATGTGCCTATGTTAGAGGCAATATTCATGATGTTCATTAGTATTCCTCTAATGTTCTTCTCGGAAATTTCGCTGACGTAGATGACAATTAAGTTAAAGATTCCGCCATGTCCAATTCCGCCAATGAATCTTCCAACGAAGAGATAGTTTACGTTGTTTGCAGTTGTGATTAAAAGACAGCCAATTAAACTTGGAATTGCAAACACAAGAAGGGTGTATTTTCGGCCAATTCTGTCGACTAGACTGGGACTGAAGAGACAACCGACAAAATCGCCAATCGAATATAATGACACTATCCATGACCCCTCGACGTCAGTTACATGAAATTCGGATTTCTCGCTTTTCAAATAGAGTAAAGAGGGCGATGGCCAGGAACGATATGTGGCGCAGGATATCATTATGAAACAGGCTGTAATTAATGAGAGATTTTCATTAATGATATCGAACTAATGGGAGAGAATTTTTACCCAACAGAATTTTTATTTGTCTTTTATGTTTTTTTGCCGACAATAAGTCAGTATTTTTTAAATAAAGAAATAATTATTATAATATATAATATTAAGTGGGGCGACATATTTTAATTCAGTTGACTAAAAATTCTTTCCTTTGGAAATTTTATAAAATATTTAATATTCCATATTATTATTCAATAAGTTGTTTTAAATCAATTATAGTCACAAAAATTCTTATTTTTTTGTCCAAATTTAATTTTCTTTTTTAATAATGTGTTTTCTTTCAACAACTTGGTATTGAAAAATTTTTATAGATTTTTATTCTTTAAAAATTTTAATAAAATTCTTCAAAAGAAACCAATTTATTTTTAAACATTTTAATAAAATTCTTTGTAGACGCTCAAATATTTTAAACAAATTTAATAACATTTTTTGCAATAATTCAATTATTTTCATAAATAATTAATTCTAGGAATTAATTCAATTAGTTTGAAAATTTTAATATAATTCTGAAATTGAAAATATTTAAATTCTTGAAAAGAATTTTTTTTTAAATAATTCAATTTTTTTGAAGAATTTTGTTATTTGTAAAAATTAATGAATTATTGCGAATAATTTTATTAAAATTTTTTAAAATAATTGAATATCTACGACTTAAAAATTAAATTAAATTCTTTTGACGTGTTTTATTCAAATTGTTTTGAAAATAATTGAATTCTCACAAAGAGTTTTTTTTTTAAATAATTGTATTCTTATGAAGAATATTATTACAATTTTTGAAAATAATTGAATTTCTTCGTAAAATTTTATTATTTATGAAAATAATTGATTTCTTATATAGAAAACATTTTTGAAAATACATAATTGAATTTTAATGAGAAACTTTATTAAAATTGTATTAAAAATAATTTAATTCCTGCGATGAATTTTAGTATTTTTTAAGATAATTGAATCGTTGAAAATAATTTTATTAAAATTTTTGAAAATAATTGCATTTTTTCCATAAATTTCATTTAAACTTTTCTAAATAATTATATTTCTGCTAAGAATTTTATTATTTATGAAAATAAATGATCCCCAAGTTTGGAACGTTCAAATGAACGAAATATTTTTTATTGCAGATATTTTTATAAATTACTAATTACAAAAAAATTAAAAAACTGAAATATTACGTTTAGGAACTCAAAAATTAATTTTTTGGATAATGGCACAAAATAATTGCAATAAAAATTTAATTTGTAGAAAAAATAAATAAATTTCGTTCATTTGAACGTTCAGAACTTTAGGATCTTGAAAATAATTGATTACTTGGAAAAATATTTTTAAAAAAATTGAATTTTTGCAATATTTTGTAATTTTTTGAAGATAATTGAATTCTTGACAAGAATTTTATTAAATTTCTTTAAAATAATTGAATATCTACGACTTAAAAGTTAAAAATTAAATTAAATTCTCTTGATGAGTTTTATTTAAATTGTTTTGAAAATAATTGAACATTTTTGAAAAGAATTGAATTCCCGCACAAATTTTATTACTTATAAAATTAATTGAATTCTTGAGAAGAATTTTATCAAATTTTTGGATAATAATTTAATTTTTTCAAAGAATTTTATTAACGTTTTTAAAAATAATTAAATTCTTTTGCGTTATTTTGTTAAAATTGTATTCAAAATAATTGAATTCCTGCGATGAATTTTATTATTTATGAAAATAATTGAATTCTTGACAAGAGTTTTGTTAAAATTTTTGAAAATAATGACTTTTTTACATGAATTTTATAATAATTCAATATAATTGAATTCCGACGATGAATTTTATTATTTATGAAAATAATTGATTACTTGGAAAAATTTTTAAAAATAATTGAATATCTACGACTTAAAAATTAAATTAAATTCTTTTGACGAGTTTTATTTAAATTGTTTTGAAAATAATTGAACATTTTTGAAAAGAATTAAATTCCTGCATAAATTATATTATTTATAAAGTTAATTGAATTCTTGAGAAGAATTTTATCAAAATTTGTAATATTAATTGAATTTTTTCAAAAAATTTTATTAACGTTTTTAAAAATAATTGAATTCTTTTAAGAAATTTTGTTACAATTGTATTGAAAATAATTGAATTCCTGCGATGAATTTTATTATTTATGAAAATGATTGAATTCTTGACAAGAGTTTTATTAAAATTTTAGAAAATAATGAATTTTTTCTATGAATTTTATTAAATCTTTTGAAAATAATTGAATTCCTAAGATGAATTTTATTATTTTTTAAAATAATTGAATTTTTGACAATGTTATTAAAACGGAAAATAATTGAATTTTTGACAATGTTATTAAAACTTTTAAAAATAATTGAATTCCTACCATGAATTTTATTATTTTTTAAAATAATTTAATTTTTGATTAGTTCATTAAAATTTCTGAAAATAATTGAATTTTGTACATGAATTTTATTAAAACTTTTGAAAATAATTGAATTTCTGCTAAGAATTTTATTATTTATGAAAGTAATTGATTTCTAGGGAAACATTTTTGAAAATAATTGCATTTCTGCAAAATTATATTATTTATAAAGATAATTGAAGTCTTGACAAGAATTTTATCAAAATTTTTGGGAAAATAATTGATTTCCTTACAGAAATTTCAATTCAATTTTATTGAAAATAATTGAATTCCTACTTATTATTTTCAAAAATATTTTAAAATAAGTTTTAGAACCATTTTTCCATTTTTAAGTTTACAATTTAAGATTTATCATTAAAATTTTTAGGAATTTAATTATTTTCAAGATTTGCAATTAAAATTCCTTAAAAGTTGATTTTGAAAAGTTTATAGGTATAGTTTAAAAATTTATTTATCTTAAAAAATAAATGAATTAAATTAAAAATGTGATGACTATGAAAAACTTGCCATTGATAGAAGCAATATATTGCCATAATTGATTCCCCTTTTCTGGAAATTCATCTTCATCCTCAAAGTTTATTTTCTCACAACTACCTGATATTTTTTTCTTCAAGTCACTCTCCATTTTTTTTTTTTTTACTTTCTTTCTAGTTTTAGAGATTAAATTATTATTTATCCTTTTTGTTAAATGAAGTGACTTAAATTAATTTAGATGAATTTAAACAAAATTAGAGGAAACTAAATTAAAGAGATAAAATTAAAGAAAAATATAGGTAAAATTAAATTTGATGAAATTAATCAAAAGTAGATAGAATAAAATTAGATTAAATTAAAATGCCAAAAAAAATTTTGCACTTGTACACTTTGAAAGGAATGAGTTTTTTCTGTGAGCTTTGATTACAAATTTTGAGTTATGCAAAGATGCAACGATGCGCTTGCCAAAATGATAAGATAAACAATTAGTGATACGAATCTTAAACAATATTTATAAATCATTTAAATTTAATTATAGATTAGGGATAAAGAAATTTAAATTTAATTACAAAGAGAAATGATAAAGAAATTTGAGATAAATTTATTGAATTTATATTTGGATTATTTGAATTTGAATTTAAATTAAAATTTTTTTGTTTAGTCCTCTTAAAATTAGAATTTATTTTTCAAGTATTAAATTTAAAAATTGTACGAAATGATGGAAATTATTTGAATCCAAGTGGAGATTTGTCGAGAGCGTTGAACTACTTTTTCTTCTTTTAGATATTACGATTGGATGTTAAATATTGAAAGTTTCAACCGATATTCACTACTTTTTTTTTTTTTTTTTTTTTTTTGTAAAAGCACTTCTTCACATTTCTCTAAAGTTATCTACTCTCGTGATATAAGCTTGGACAATTTCCTCCTGAATTCACAGCCTATCTCATCAAGGCACCTGAACAAATATTGAGAAGTTCAAATACTAAAATTACCACTATACTAAACTTTGTGGTTTTAGTATTATTTTATTTTTCAACTTCCCTATCCGTATCTATTGTTTTTGAACATTAAAAAAAGAAGTCCACTATCATTAGCTTGTATTAAGACTGGTTTTTCTAAAATTATACCGCAACTTGTTATTTTTTATAATAATCATTGTTTTCCTATCTTTATGTTTCTTCAAAGTATTTTGTGTTCAAATATTTTCATTGCTAAATATTTTTTATCTCTAATTCGGTAAACAATTTTTTTTATTGCAGTAAATTAAGACTATTTTTTTGTTCCAACATTGTTGACTTTCGAGAAAATATACAAAAAAAGAGAAAAATTACAAAAAGAAAGAAAAAAGAAAATGTACAAATACGAGACTTTTTTTTTACAAATGTTAGCAATATTTTTTCCAATAAATTGAAATGGCAAAAATATTGTTATGGGGAGAATTTATTGGAGATATTGTGGATTATAAATTGGCAATGAGGGATGAGGACGGGGGGGAGAGGATTTTTATTGTTTCCAACCTCTCACCCCTCAATATATATATATATATATATAGGAAAAATGACGAACAATGTGACAATATAGGAAAAGAAGAAAATTTAATCCTCGCATTTCAAGCGCAATCCCTACGGGTTTCCCAAGTTCTAAAATTCAAGCACATATACTCAAAAAGTTTCGATGAGATTCTGCGACCCTGAAAACCGTGAATTTTTATCTCACAATTCTGAGTCTTTTTCTTCTTCTCTCTCTCTCTCTCTCTCTCTTTTTTTTGCCCACTTTTCCACTCTGCGAGCATTTTTTTTCGCTCTGTATTTATGTCCTCTTTTCATAAATCCGGCTGCTTTCAAATGATAAGCACCCACTTCTTGAATATCTATTTATAAAGATTTTTTTTAGCATTTCATTTAATACTTCTTTTTGGTATTTGTTCATTAGACTAGGGATTATTTTAACAATTTTGATGATCAAAAGACAAAAAAGATTTCTGTACAATGAGGAAAAAAAAATTCTTTATAGAAATGATAAAAATATTTATTTTCTAAATCATTTTTTTGGTAATAAAAATATTAACTAGAATTACTATACAATAATTTTGGTT